GTGTATTTTAATTTCCCATTATCTTCAATATAAAAAGTTTATAGATTATATAATATACCTATAATGTATAAACCATGTTTAATTTATACTGATTTTTTAATATTATTTATTATTGTTAATTTAATAATGTATTTTTTTATAACATCTTACTACCAAATAAAAATTGATTTCAAATTATAGTACCTACCTATTATAGTAAACCTTTGTGAAGAATATGTGTAATGTGTGTATAACTATTGTGACTATTACTATAGTTATGAATTGTAATTTTTTGGTATTGAATTAAACTATAATTATAATTAGAGAACAGATAAAATAAAAATTTTGGATATTCCCTAAAATATTCCTGGGTACGCCCCTGGTTCATTACCTACAGCTCATGTTCCTGTTGTTCATTCGAGTGAATAAATAAAAATACAAGTACCAAATTGAATCAAATATTTATTTAAAAATTTATTTAAAACCTACTGCGTATAAAATAAATAATAATAATGACAACACAAATAGTTCTTATATTAAAATTGTACCTTTAGCCTGAATCCTATATGAAAAAAAAAAACAAATAATTATCGTTGTAATAGTACCTATTAATTTATTTTTATAAACTTTAAAAAACAATTAAGATATGTAACTTAATTTAACAAATATCTAAGTAGAAAACATAAGGTTGGTAATTAATCAAATAATAAATTCCAAATTTCCTTTTTTTTCATTTTGGCAAATTTGTTGATTGTTTCATCAATGGATACAATAATATTTTTATGCACATGCAGCAAAGTCAAATCTGTTAGTCTATGCTGGCCTATTCTTGATCTTAATCATGTTTTCAATTTATAAAAATGTATTTTTGGCCAATATTTTCAAGTTAAAGAATATGGAAACAAATATTGTCAGTTATAATTAGGGACCGGATTTATATGCACAAAAAATCCTCAAAATATGCTTCTAAAAATGCTGTAATATGCTATAAAATATGTATTTATTTTTAAATATATACTTAAATATTCAATTAAATTGTTGTTTAAAATTATGTACGAATATGTGAAACGTATTATAAATGTAAAAATAATCATTAATTAATATGGTATTAAAAAAAGTATAAAAAAGATTTTAAAATATTTTGTCGTCTTTGTCGCCATTTAACATTCTTTATCTTCAATCTATAAAGTATAAATACCCACATTAATAAAAAGTGAAAACAAAAATTGAATTCATATTTTACCTTATTGCAATGGATGATATGAGTATATAATCTTATCTTTGGAAATAACGACCGGTCGCAATTTTATTGATATTATGTGGTTGTGATCGTAAAAAATACGACGAAAACGAATATATGTGCTATTAATAATAATATGCACTATACAACTACCAAATATGCATCGAATATGCATTTAATAGGTAAAAACGTTGAAATATGCAAAATATGCAAAATAAAATTAGTGTTATTTTAATAAGAAAAATCTCAATCGGGGAAAATGCTCATCAGATTTCAAAAAGCTTATTCCAATACATACAAGGTCTAATCAAAAAGTATCAACTTTTAAAAAAAAAAAAAAAATATTTATTAGATAAAGTTATTTACATTCAATCTCCTTCAAAGTATGCTCCTTCTGAGTCCACACATGTTCTCCAACGTTCCTGCCATTTTTTGAAAACACCTGTGGAAGTCATTTTTAGAAACTCTTCGTAGCTCTTCCGTCGCATTTTTTTTTTATTTCATCTACATCTTGAAAACGTTTATCCTTAAGTGCCATTTTTATTTTTGGGAATAAAAAAAATCACATGGAGCTACCCTTCACGTTCATCACTTTCAACAGTTGTTCTACCCTCTTTAAATCGTTTAAACCATTCAAAAACGCGAGCACGGGACATGGTTTCATCTCAATAAGCTAATAATAACATTTGGTAGGTTTCAGTAGCCGTTTTTCCCAGTTTATGGCAAAATTTAATGCACACTCGTTGTTCTGTATTTTCGCTCATTATGAAATCCGACGGGATGTAAAAACACAATTGACTTAATCGCATCTAGAAGCCGACTGAGACAATTTTAATCTAATCTATGTCTAATATATTTTCCCAACATATAAAGTTAGATTAATATAGCACGTGCAAGTTCATACTCAAACCGGTTTACGATTAATCGTATCAGTCTCGATAATTTTTGATTAGACCTTGTATATGCATTAGCATATAAATTCGGTTCCTAGTTATAACGATTATTATTAGGGTTAGGGGCTTCTTGCTCTAATAAATACAAAAATATACAATATGCATAAATGCACCAAAAAAAGACTAACTAGTAAATATATGGTAAAAAAAATGTTACTTTAAATTACTTTGTATTATCTGATAAATACCTCGATTATGGTTGTAAATATCTATAACCGTGGCAATATCCGTGGAAGATAATACTACTGTTCGTTCCAGAACCAAAAATGTTATGATATAAGAAGATAAACAAAAATTGATACCCGTAACCAAATTGACATATTGAATTTATTATTATATTATAATGATAGACTAGTAATTTATATTCCTAAATATTACATTACATTACATTATATAACAAATACATTACATTTTTTTAAATAAATCAATGTATTATATTAAAAAAAATACGAGCCATGGAGGGGACAATGCCCCCTTCGGCCCCTCAAATACGCCCTTGTTTGTAAATAAAATACATGTATTAAATAAAAAAAAAATATAGTTTTCTGTTTTCACAGGGCGCCTACTCCGCCTAATTGGTAATCCGGCACTGATTGTGGATAATATTGAATATTTTGGTGAGGGAGTGAAGGTTTATAGAGTAGTCAAGTGCTTACTCTAACTACCCCATGCTCACGCTTATGGATATATGGTAACTCTATGATCATTTAACACTTTTAAACCATGCATTTTTTTTTATTGATTAGAATATACTTAATTAAAACCATTTTTATAAAATAAACATATTAGAGCAATGTTTCTTAATTTTTTTTGGATCTTAAAATCACTTTTAAGTTTACTTGCACATTCCATTTGAATGAAAATCTCTGTAAAACAGTGTGACTTGTGAACAAATTAATTTTCAAGAAACTACGTATTTAAAAGTAACATTATATTATATTATATTAAAATAAACAACCTTTTCTTTTTCTTCAGGTGCCTATCCGGTTTCAAATGTTAGCATTCTAGTAATGCTCTCTCTGTTGATTGCATTGCGAAACAACTCTGATGAGCTCTTTCAAAACGATTCCCTTAGATTATGAAGCCATAATTTTATTCTTTTTCTAAATATTTTCTCTTGCAAAATGAATTGGAGTGTTGAATACTTACTCTCAATTCCGCGTTATATTTTATAGGTATTGAAGCTTTCTTATCTTTATGGTGTTTACTAGCTTAGTGTCCTTGTTCATTTTTCTAAGAACTTCAACGTTTGTAATCCGAACTGTTCACGATATTTTCAGTATTCTTCTATACAGGTGCATGTAAACTCCGCCAGAAAAAAAAACAGGTAAAATTGGATTCATGTAAATTCCGCCAGTGAAGAAAATCAAGTAGTTGTATAAAATTAATATAATAGATTACAAGATTATTAAAAAAAAATTATAGTATGATATCATATCACATCGTTCATATTAAATATTTAAATCATAATAAAAATATCATAATGAATAATCGTTATAACTAATAAAATAAAATCATATTTTTCATAATAATAATTAAAAATTCTCCTCATTAAATATTTGAATCACAGTAAAAAAAAAAATCATAATAAATAACCGTTATACCTAATAATTCAAAAATATATAGTTATGTCATATATGTAAACTAAAATGATGTGATTCTCCTTCTTCTTCTTCCTTGGTTTTGACCATTCAAGACCATACCTCTAGATAAACATACTGCCACCTATCTCTATCCTCTGCTACTTCCTGCCAATGACTCTCCGGCTCCACTGTTTCAGCGTCTTTCTTAACGCAATCATCTCATCTTAAACGCGGTCTTCCAAGAGGTCTCCTTCCTACTGGGTTTTCCTCTATTACTCTTCTTATTAATGAGTCATGCTTTCTCCAGACATGTCTTGCCCAAACTAGCCTCCTTTTTTTTATCTCTCAGTATATCCGGTCGCTGAAAAAGGGATTGTAGTTTATCATTGTGTAAATAGAGTCATATGCTTTCTTGAAGTCCACAAATAATATATACGCGTCTTTATTGAACTCCCACATTTTTTGAAGAATCTGCCTAATTACAAATATTTGATCTGTTGTCGATCTGTTTGGTCTGAAACCTCCTTGGTAATCCCCTATTATTTCTTCCGCAATCGGTAGTATTCTATCAAATAAGCAATATGCAAGAATTTTTTAGGTTACGTTTAATAGTGCAATTCCCTTATAATTGCATATCTGGGGGTCATTATTTTTGTGGATAGGGTATACTAGCGTAGTATTCCACTCCTCCGGGAGTCTTTCCTTCTGCCATACCATTTCAATAACACTATGTATTCTTGATACTGTTTCCTCATTTAATTTTTTTAATATTTCTCCCTGAATCCCATCTTCTCCGGGAGATTTTTGGTTTTTTAACCTTAATATTTGTTGTTTATTTCATTTCTAGTAGGAGGTAGACATTTGCAATCGTTGGTTTCTACTAGTTCCCATTCAAAAGTTTCTTCTGGATTTTCGCAGTTGAGCAGTTGGCCAAAATATTGCGTCCATTTTTCCAATATATCTTACTGTCCTGTTGTCAGTGAACCATCTTCATTTTTCAAGAACTTATTATGTTTTTTGTATCCTCCTCTTATACTGTTTATTTTTTGGTACAACTGTCTCGTTCTATTCATTCTAGAATCTACTTTTGCTTCTTCCAATAAATTCCGAGTATATTTTCGTTTTTAATTTCTAAATACTCTACTTGTGCTTTTCTGACATTCTTTATACGCAATTTCTTTTTCTATATTATGTTAGTCATTGAGCCACTGGTTTCTAGCTTCTTTTCTCCGATTTAGAGCATTTTCACACATATCGTTGAACCATGGTTTTCTTACAGTTTTTTAATTTTCCGATTTCTGACTCTATCACTACCTTTATAGTAACTTTAATTTTCTTCCATTTTGCATCATTTGAGTTATTTATACCTGTATCTATCCTTCTGATTTTTTCCGACATCAGATACTTGAATCTTTTACGTGTATTCACATTGTTTAGTTTAGCTGTGTCATATTTGTCTACCACTGTTCCTTTTTTCCGAGTAACCTTTTTTATTTTGACTTTAATTTTTCTTTTAACCAGATAGTGATCCGAATCACCATCGGCTTTTCTCATCGTTCTTATGTCTTGAATACAGTTTTTGAATCTTGCGCTTACTAGGATATGGTCGATTTGAATAACATACCTTCCATCAGGTGACATCCATGTTCCCTTATAAATATTTTTATGTGGAATCATTGTACTTTTCGCTGCAAGATCATTTCCAATCACAAAATCGATAAGTCTTAATCCATTATCATTTGTAGTTTCGTGGAAGCTGTGATTACCAATTATTGGTCTGAATACAGCCTCTTTACCAATTTTTGTATTTAGGTCACCTAAGATTATTTTTTTTTCTGTACTGAGGTAATGCATTTAATGTTAAGTCCAAGCACACATAAAAATCATCCTTCTCTTCTTGCGGCTTGTCTTCGGAAGGCGCATGCACATTTATGAAAGTTATGTCGAAGAAATGCGCTTTCATTGTCAACAATGAGATTCTTGGATTGATATCTTCGAATTCTCTTATATTTGGTATTAAGCTTTTGTGTAACGCAAAACCAGTTCCAACCTGGCGTTGATCATTAGATTTACCATAAAGTATTGTTGTTTCTTGTATATCTATCGTTCCAGTATCATCCCATCTAATTTCTTGTAGAGCCACTATTTTTAACTTGTATTTCTTGATTTTTTTAACAATGTTTTGGGCCGCTCCAGGTTTGAAAAGAATACGTACGTTCCATGTCCCAAACAATAAGCTATGTTTTTGATTTCCAGTCTTATTATCCAAAGCTCCATGTATCCGAGCATGTTTATGTTTATTAGATCCTGAACAGAAAACTGATGAAAATGATGTGATACAATTTGTAAATATTCTAAGTCTTGTATCACTCCATTAATGTACCTATTTACTTAAGATATACCATTTAGTTTTATTTAAGTATGGGTTTGAAATTCGGTAAAAACTTTACTAAAAATATGAACATTCGATTGACTTTTATAAAATGAATTTCATAGATGATTATGAAAGGATCCACATGCAAAACTCAAAAAAAAAACTGACAGCAATTACATATACTCATTACGGGTAAGAAAAAAAAACTGGTGGCGTTTACATTAGATCTTTTATTACTTATTTATCTTAACCGATATTCTGACGGAGTTTACAATAGCCCTTCTATACAGCTATAACTCAAATGCATTTATTTATTTTTTTTAAAGGCATCATTCAGTGTCTACGATTTCACACTGTAGAGCAGCACAGAGAACATAGCATCTTATGTGTCTCATTTTTGTTTTAAGAAAAAACTTATGACTTTTGAAGAAAGCACTCATTTTTTAAATGTTGTCCTAGCTTTACCTTTACGGCTCTTTATTTCTTGAGTTTTTTTCCAATTTTCATTTATCATGGTGCCTAAGTAACTATATTGTTTCACACTTAATTATATATATATAAATATGCCTTTCTAAAATCCACAAATAATACGTGTACATCTTTGTCGAATTCTAAGCGTTTTTGGATAGTTTGTCTTAGAATGAAAATTTGGTCAGTTGTGAATCTATTGGGCCTAAACCCACCTTGATAGTCACTTATTATATTTTCAGCTCTGGGTACTACTCTGTCTAGTAAACAATATGTTAAGACTTTATATGTCGTATCTTACAAAGCAATACCTCTGTAAATACTGCATTTTTGCGGGTCTCCTTTTTTATAAATAGGACAAATCAAAGATGCACCCCAGTCTTTCGATAGATGTTTCTCAGACCTTATATTTTCGATGATATCATGTATTCTATTTATTACCACCTCATTCAGATTTTTTAGAATTTCTCCCTGAATTCCATTTTCTCCTGGTGTTTTATTGTTTTTTAGTCTATTTAGTTGATTTATTATTTATATTCTACTAGGAGGTGGGCATTCAACGTCGTTAAAGTTTGATGTTATCCACGTAAATATTTCAGATGGGTTCTCACAGTTAAGCAATTGGTTAAAATACTTTCTCCATTTTTCTAGAATTTTGTCTTGTTCCGTAATTATAGAGCCATCGTCATTTTTTAAGAATCATTCATGTTTTTTATACCCAGTCCAAATTGAATTAATCTTCTGATGCAGTTCACGATTTTTGTTAACTCTGTGGTTGGTCTCGGCTTCCCACAATATATCTTTCGTGAATTTACGTTTTTCAAATCTAAATATATTATTTGCATCTTTTTGGCGTTCTTTATAAGTAGATTCCTTCTCTCTATTGGAGGGGTCATTGATCCATTGTAATCTAGCGTCTTTCCTTCTGTTAAGTGTCTCCTCACAAGAAGTGTTGAACCAAGTTTCTTCACTTTTTTTTTGTTTACCTATCGTCGTATCTGTAACTACTTTTAAGGTTTCCTTAATTGTCTTCCATTTGCAATCTATTGTAACTAATTGATTAATTGTATGTTAGACATTGCTTCATCCATCCATTGTTTGAAAAAATTCACATATAGTTTTGTTAGCATTTAAATTAAATAAACGCTCGGTCAGGAATATAGGTGTATATTAAACAGAATATAACTATATATATATATATATATATATATATATATAAAAAATAAAAAGAATAATAAGTTGATCAGCGTCGGTTGCTGCGGAACGGTCACAAATACATCTGATCACTCGACTGATTCGGGAAAAAGTGAAAATGCCGACCCGCACGCCGTGCTCGGCGTGCCGGAGCAAAAAGGGGGGAAGGGCTGTGGTACGGTGTAACCAATCTGGGCCACACAGTGCCACGGCCTTTACTATAATTAAATATATTAACATTAACCGCTAACAGTTTTATTTATTTACTTACTTTATAACTGTTCACAATTGCACCTTTTTTAACTGCCAATTTTTTAAGTTTCACGTTTAGCTTTCCTTTTACCAGGTAGTGGTCTGAATCACAGTCAGCTCCTCTGACTGTTTTGACATCATGTATATAGTTTTTAATCTTGTGTTAATTATGACATGGTCTATTTGATTGGTATATCTACCATTAGGCGCTTTCCAAGTACCCTTGTAGATATCTTTGCGTGGGAACATTGTACTTTTCACAAAAAGTCCACCACCACTTGCAAAGTCAATAAGCCTAAGTCCGTTCTCACTAGTTATGTCATGCATGCTATGATTACCAATGGTTGCTCTGAATATGTTTTCCGTTCCCAATTTGGCATTAAAATAGCCTAAGACTATCCTAATCCTATTACCAGGGGTTTCATTTAGGATTTGTTTCAGATTCTCATACAATTCGTCCTTTTCCTATGGTGATTTTTCCTCCGTAGGTGCGTGACCATTCAGAAAAGTGATATCAAAATATTGCCCTTTAATTGTCAATGTTGATATCCAAGGGTTAGTACTTTTAAATTCTGTTACCAAAGAGACTATACTTTTGCGTACCTCAAAACCCGTTCCAAATTATCTTCGATCATTACATTCTCCGTAGAATATAGTCGGGTCTTGAAGATCCAAGGTACCTTTGTCGTTCCATCTAAGCTCCTGCAAGCCTAGCCAGGTTTCCGTTTTCCAATCTTGTTTTTCATTGCTCCACATGTCCGAGGCAAGTTTATTATTGTATCCTGAACAAGGTTGTTAAGAAAGGCATACGACTCTATCCACAGAGAAAGTTTTTTAAACATTCTCAAAGATTTCAAATTCCCCAAGAAAATTATTAATCTCATTGGAGCCAGTCTCAATCATACTGATTACAGGTCAAGATAGGTAACGTAACATCACAACCTACAAGAATAACGACAGGACTTCGGCAAGGGAATGCTCTGTCTCCAGTGCTGTTTAATTTAGTACTAGAGAGGGTAATACGCGAGATGAACATTTCAGAGGGAGTTATATTAGGACAGATCACAATTGGAATGCTAGCATATGCGGATGATGTCGCTCTCCTTGGTGAAGATCTAGATATGATAAAGAGATTAGGAAACAAACTAATAAATACGGCAAAAAAAAGTGGGCCTAACCGTCAATGAGGAAAAAACAGAGTACCTTGTTGCTAGCCGAAGAAATAGAAATGGCGGTCTAGAATAATATATCAAAATTGATGAGCTCAAGTTCAAAAGAGCGTCACAATTTAAGTATCTAGGGTCAATGAAAACGAAGGATAATGACATCAAGACAGAGGTGTCAACAAGGATGCAACTAACGAATAGAGGATATTATGAGCTTGAAAAAGTTTTGAAATCGAAGGTCTTATCCAAAAACTTAAAAATCAAAATGTACATGACTCTACTAAAACCAATTGTTCTAAACGACTCGGAAACATGGGCATTGAGACAAACAGAAGAATCAAGATTAATGATATTCGAAAGAAAAGTTCTACGGAAAATTTTCGGCCCCATATTCGATAGACAATCGAATGAAGAAAATTTCATAATGTGGAACTCCAAAGAATTTTTCAGAGGCCAAGTATAGTTAGGGAGATTGCCAAACGAAAACTAAGTTGGGCAGGACATGCTTGGCGCAAACAGGGTACTTAAGTAAAACGGGTAATCGAAGAAGACCCTATAGGAAAAAGACCACTAGGTAGACCTAGGCTGAGATGGAAAGATGGTGTGAAAAGAGAAGTGGAAAGGATAGAGCCTGGTGTCTAATGGAGAGAAGTAGCGGAGGACAGGGATAGGTGGCAAAGTTAATCGTTTTCAGGATGGTCTTAAGGGCTGAAACTAAAGAAGATAAAGAAGAAGATATATATAAATATAAATATAAATAAAAAATTTATATAATTATAACTTAAGAAAAACTAACTTATTTTGATTTGATTGACATAAAGGGGAACTTCAATTATAATGTTCTTGCTAATGACCATTTGTTTATTTTTATGTACATTTATGTTGAATTCAAACCGTTGACTCTGTTGTGCTATGTGATCCATTAAGGTTTGTAGTCCGATAAAACTTTTGGCTAAAATTATAGAGCCTCATTGAATATTTTCTCAGAATAGAGATTGAAAATTATGGGTAAAAAGATACAATCTGTCTAACAAGTCGTAATATTTTTACAACCTCGGTTGTATCTCTATACAGTCTCAAGCAAGCTCTCTGATTCTAAATTAATAATAGACAACCTAATTCTTAATTAGGTTGCCTATTATCCTTAAATATTTGCTATCAAGACCGACTTCTTTAAGTATATTCATAGTTATATCATGTTTGAATCTATCGAAGGCTTTCTCATAATCAATCAGATATGCGTAAACGTCACAATTTACGTGTCTGCATCTTTGTATCAAGATTGCTTTCCAAATAATGCCTTTCTTGTGTCCACTGCTTTAATGAAATCAAACTGAGTTGGCAAAATTTGCTCTTCGCACTTTTTGTATATTCTTTTATGGATAACCTTTAAAAATAACTTTAAAATATGACTCACAGGACCTATGAACATATGGTCAGTGGTGTATTGGAGGGTATATGCGAGTATACGCTATATACCCGGATCCCTATTTTTGGATTTATGCGTATACCTTTAAGAAAATTCGTCTATCATGGATATACGCAAGCTTCTAATTTTTCATCACCACAAGGCATATATTATATAACAACAGTATAGAATTTATTATTATTATATACTATAGCCACTATCTAAAAATAGCTTCGTGCCCGAATAAACTTCGATTAAATTTTCCCCACTTCAGGTATTTGCGGAGACGGTCGGAAACTGCTGAGCGTTTACATACTGTTTACATATCAGAATTTAAACAATACCGGTGGACGCGTGCGATATTGTATTGTCGATCGGATATTATAATTTTTAAAAATACTTCAACAGTCAAAAAGTTCTGTTTATAAATTTATCACAATATTAACAGATCTGTCTACGATGTTTTGGATAGATTGTGATTATTAATTATTATATTGTTGTCAGTTTGTCACTTAGTATTTATTCGTCACATGTTTGTGTAAATTATTTTAAATTAATACTAAAATATTATTACACATAATAAAACATTAGGTTTCATGAAAATAAATATTAACATAAATTCAAAGTTTCATACTTTAATATACTTGACAATAAAATATATTTTATTATAATTTATAAGTTACTATATCTGTGAAATATAGTGAAATATAAGGTACGCAATATATACGTATTATATCTATGTAGTAGTCCGTATTTATAATAGAGTCCGAGAGAAACGAGATAACTAAACATTTTTTATAATGATATACATTATTTTTCCCTAAATTGTATTTATTCTAGATAACGTTTTTATAAGGGTCTAAATGTCTACCATCAATTATTCATCTCTAACGTATATTGTAAAATTGAATAAAGTTTAAAGAAGTATTTTTTCTAATATGTAATACTTAATAGTTTTATATTTTTGTTATTTTATGAAACATACAGTGTGTATCATAAAACAGCTAGAAATATAAGATTTATGCCGTATTTGTTTTTATGAAAACTTGACAACCTTTGTCTCATGAGACAAATTCGTTATATTACATATATTATGTAATTATTTTTTAGTATACATTAAAATATAAAGTAGACAATTATGTATATAATTACAATTAATATTATGTACAATTTGATATAATCTATGACTTGCGCTGAGATGACACTATTATTGCTGTGGGAATATAAATGTACTGTATTTTACTTATACTTAATTTTTTTCAACTTATTTTTTATTACTTTTTTTTTTTAATTAGAGAGAATTCCACATTATATGTATTTTATAAATGGAAAAAGCAAAGATAATAATTATACGTAACTTATGTGATTAGATGTGAACATTTTTAATGAATTTTATTAAAATTCATATTTATGCAACAAAATATTTGTTAGAAGTGTATTTACCACGCATGGAAATTATTTTGGCAGTCAGTCGTATACTGGTACACTATATTTACAGTATACAGACTTAAGTGCACGTTCATTTACATACTTGTATGTAACCATGTCAAATGCAAAATATTGTATTTTATTGTTCTTGGTATTTAATTGATGATTAGATTTGATAAGCGATTTTTAATTCCAAGACTAATATTAAGCTGTGTGGTTTTGACAGTTACTGGAGCAAAACATGCTTCTCGAAAATGAGTATAGTTTTTAAATCGGACGGGGTCCGATTTGTACTCACGGAGCCTGGAGGCAAGCGAGCTTAATTAACATTCTGTCAGTTTTCATGATTAAAATGTTTGTCGGTGGCCATTATAGGTACACGCGACTTAGCCTCGTGAAAGTTTTGATTTTAAACTCTCCTCAAACATTATAAACTATACTTCAGCCATTGACCTAGCTATCCAAGTTCGCAACGGGACAATTTGAACGCAATCCGATAACTACTGACTTTTATAACAATAATTGTGACATCGATTATAGGTACCTACATTCGTTTATCTGTAATACACTTGAAACAAAACTAACCAAATACAATACTTTTGTTTCGACATTGTATTGTAACTCTGAAATTATACCTAAACATACTTCTACCTATGAATGACCAATTGATATAGTCTACAATCATCAAAAAATTAAGTAATATTCGTATTGTAGAATTTTGTTTTAGAAAGAAGTCGTGAAATTTGTATATCTATAACCCTTTCCATCCTATCAATAATATATAGCCCTGATTATGTTATGAAGTATTAAATTCTGCATTTAAATAAATTTATACTTTTAATCAGTGGTGTATTGGTGAATATATTTATGGGTAAACGCACTAAATAAATATGGATATTTATCTTAAAAAAATTGTATTGCTTTGCTCGAAAATTTTTTTCTTGCTGCGTTTAAATAAATTAAATTAATCATTTATACATGCTTATAACTTCTAATAGGACAATAAAATATAACACCACAAAATATACATTTACCACGAGTTATAAATTGCATTATGCTGATTTAAGAACCATGGGGTGAATTTCCATACTCCATATTATTTTATTCAATGTTATTCACTAAATTTAACTTAAGATACATTAAACACAGCGTACATTTAATCTTCAACAGATGAATATTTCATTCAATTTCTACATTCAACTAGCTCATACCAATTTTTTCCAACGAACTATTAAATTATTTATTTATATATATATTTTTTTGTTCTCGAGTTATTTTAGAGGCTTATAATATAATAATATTTTACATTAGCTGTACGCCGAAAATCGAAAATCTGCTGACGGGTATACAGCATATATCCTCGTTTACTTACCAATACACACCTGCTTATAACGCTTGTTGTGAATTTATGATTGCATGATGACATAATTTCAAATATAATCAATCGATTATCGCTAAGCGGGTATATAATAAAATTTAATATAATATATATTTATGTTCAAATAATTGTATTATGCCGTTAGATATTTATAACTCGATTCCCGATCGATCCTAACAGTTTGATCGGCTAAACCTAGGATATTCTGCATTGTTTAGATTTGTCGAATTTTGAAATTATTTTTGTTTCATGGAATTTTATTTTTATTGTGTATTTTAGAGGAAGTGAATATTTTGTCAGTAAATTCCAAGTCATTATACTTAATTAATATTCTCATTTATAATTTGTCCTACTAATATTTTTGAAAAACGAAAGG